GCATCCCATAGGTTTTGAGTCATTGTGTTTTCATTGTCATTTGTCGAGGTATTTTTTGATTTCCTCTTTGATTTCTTCAGTGCTCTCTTGGTTATTTAGCTGTATATTGTTTAGCCTCCATGTGTCTGTATGTTTTACAGATTTTCTTCCTGTAATTGATATCTAGTCTCATAGCATTGTGGTCAGGAAAGATACCTGAGACGATTTCAGTTTTCTTAAATTTACCAAGGCTTGATTTGTGACCCAAGATATGATCTATTCTGGAGAATGTTCCATGAGCACTGGAGAAGAAAGTGTATTCTGTTGTTTTTGGATGGAGTGTCCTATAAATGTCAGCTAAATCCATCTTGTTTAATGTACCATTTAAAGCTTGTGTTCCTTATTTATTTTCATTTTGGATGATCTTGCCATTGGGAAAAGTGGGGTGTTAAAGTCCCCTACTATGATTGTGTTACTGTTGATTTCCCCTTTTATGGCTGTTAGCATTTGCCTTAAGTATTAAGGTGCTCCTATGTTGGGTGCATAAATATTTACAATTGTTATATCTTCTTCTTGGACTGATCCCTTGATCATTATGTAGTGTCCTTCCTTGTCTCTTGTAATAGTCTTTATTTTAAAGTCTATTTTGTCTGATATGAGAATTGCTACTCCAGCTTTCTTTTGATTTCCATTTGCATGGAATATCTTTTTCCACCCCCTCACTTTCAGTTTGTACGTGTCCCTAGGTCTGAAGTGGGTGTCTGGTAGACAGCATATATACAGGTCTTGTTTTTGTATCCATTCAGCCAGTCTGTGTCTTTTGGTTGGAGCATTTAATCCATTTACATTTAAGGTAGTTATCAATATGTATGTTCCTGTTACCATTTTCTTAATTGTTTTGGGTTTGTTATTGTAGGTCTTTTCCTTCTCTTTAGTTTCCTGCCTAGAGAACTTCCTTTAGGATTTTCTGTAAAGCTGGTTTGGTGGTTCTGAATTCTTTTAGCTTTTGCTTGTCTGTAAATGTTTTAATTTCTCTGTTGAATCTGAATGAAATCCTTGCTGGGTAGAGTAATGTTGGTTGTAGGTTTGTCCCTTTCATCACTTTAAATATGTCCTGCCACTGCCTTCTGGCTTGCAGAGTTTCTGCTGAAAGTTCAGCTGTTAACCTTATCGGGATTCCCTTGTATGTTATTCGTTGCTTTTCCCTTGCTGCTTTTAATATTTTTTCTTTGTATTTAATTTTTGATAGTTTGATTAATATGTGTCTTGGCGTGTTTCTCCTGGATTTATTCTGTATGGGACTCTGTGCTTCCTGGACTTGAGTGACTGTTTCCTTTCGCATATTAGGGAAGTTTTCAACTATTATCTCTTCAAGTGTTTTCTCAGTCCCTTTCTTTTTCTCTTCTACTTTGGGAACCCTATAATTCGAATGTTGGTGCGTTTAATGTTGTCCTAGAGGTCTCTGAGACTGTCCTCAATTCTTTTCATTCTTTTTTCTTTATTCTGTTCTGCAGTAGTTATTTCCACTATTTTATCTTCCAGGTCACGTATCCGTTTTTCTGCATCAGTTATTCTGCTATTGATTCCTTCTAGAGAATTTTTAATTTCATTTATTGTGTTGTTCATTATTGTTTGCTCTTTAGTTCTTCTAGTCCTTGTTAAACTTTTCTTGTATTTTCTCCATTCTATTTCCAAGATTTTGGATCACGTATACTGTCATTATTCTGAATTCTTTTTCCGGTAGGCTGCCTATTTCCTCTTCATTTGTTAGGTCTGGTGGGTTTTTATCTTGCTCCTTTATCTGCTGTGTGTTTTTCTGTCTTCTCATTGTGCTTAACTTACTGTGTTTGGGGTCTCCTTTCTTCAGGCTGCAGTTTTGTATTTCCTGTTGTTTTTGGTGTTTGCTCCCAGTGGGTAAGGTTGGTTCAGTGGGTGTGTAGGCTTCCTGGTGGAGGGGACTAGTGCCTGTGTTCTGGTGGATGAGGCTGGATCTTGTCTTTCTGGTGGGCAGGACTGTGTCCGGTGGTGTGTTTTGGGGTGTCTATGAACTTACTATGATTTTAGGCAGCCTCTCTGCTAATGGGTGGGGTTGTATTCCTGTCTTGCTAGTTGTTTGGCATAGGGTGTCCAGCACTGTAGCTTGCTGGTCATTGAGTGGAGCTGGGTCTTCGCTTCAAGATGGAGATCTGTGAGAGAGCTTTCACCATTTGTTATTACGTGGGGCTGGGAGGTCTCTGGTGAACTCGGCTCTACCACCTCAGAGGCTCAGGCCTGACAGCCGGCTGGAGCACCAAGACTGATTGTGGAGGCTTGGTGAATCCAAAATCTGATGTATTAGGCCAGCAGGCTGGAGACTCTGGGAAGAGTTGCAGCCCAAACGAAATCTGCTGGCAGAATCCCTGTCCTTGGTTTTGATAATGTCATTGGAGGCTTTGCTAAGCTGTTTGGTATCATGACAAGGGCAGAAGTTTAGTTGGAGTGGGTTGGAGGTAACCGGTTGGTGAAGATGCTAAGAGTTGGGACTGTCTTAGAACTATGTGAAGTTTGGCTGTGAAGGGGCTGGTGTGTTGTGTATGTGACCTTATGTGAACTACTTGACTCCTCAAATCGAATTCCTCACCTTCCAGCTGGTGATGGGATTACATAATGTGAGGTACTGTTGAGAGCATCGCAGGAAATGAAGCACACTGATGCCTCCAGATCTTCCAGCACAACCTCTTGCCTGAATGTGGATGTTCTCAGAGTGCTTGTTTCTCCCGTGCTCTTCTCTGTCTGAGAGGCTTCATTTTCCCATCCGTAAAAGGAGGAAATTAGGCCAAATGAAGTTTCCAGTTCTAGGTTCTCACATGTTGCCTGCTTCTCAGCCCAGGGGCTCCCCACTTCCCCCTCTCCCACTGCCTCTGTCCAGTTTCTGCCTGTGGCTGTAACCCCCATTGGACTCTCTTCCCTTTTCCCGCATCTACTCTGCTTTGATTCTGTCTTGCACTCGATCACCAGATTACTTCTCCAAAAAAAAAAAAACCCCTTGCTTAGCCTTCTTTCTCACCCAAGAGTCTTGAGAAGGGCCTCGTTCCTGAGATGAATGTACCCATCCCCACCTGTGATCCTTTATGGCTTGAGCTCTGCTGGACTCACTTCTTCTGCTCTCCTCTGCACCCCTGGCCATCAGATTGGCTGCCGCTTGAATGTATCTTGTTCTGCCTTTTCTCTGGCCTCTGGAATGTTATACCCAGTTTTAAATCCCACCTGTCCCTCAGGAGCTGGTGCGTGTGCAGTGCCCCTTGGTGCTGTGATACAAAGGACCATCTCTCTGCAGGAAGCTCCAAGGCTACTCCTGTCTGCCTTGCTTAGTTCCACTCACATCTAGAGTGGGCCTGCAATGTGCACACACCAACCACCTCCTGCTTCACCTGACAGTTGTTTATCACAGGTCTCAGCTCCCGCCTCCACCATGAGCCTCCTCTGAGGTTTCTTTCCATCTCCTGCAGTGCCATGCATGTTGGGTGCTTCACAAATTAACAAATTACATCAATCAGAAAACGTCACTTTGAGAAGCTGTAATGGAAGGTTTGGGAATTATTAAGTTTTAAGAGAGGATAGTAACCAAGGGTTTTTCTTTGTGTGTATGTTTAGAATTAAAAAAAAAAAAGTTTCCAGTATTGAGGCTGTTTTATCAAAAGCCTTTAAAATCTGCAAATGCCTTGGCCCAGCAATTCTACTTCTAGGGATTTATCCTAAGAAAACAGTTTGGAATATCTGCAGAGAATGTCCACTGCAGTGTTGTTTATGATGTGAAAATATGGAGATAACCTAAATATCCAACAATAGGGGATTGGTTTAAAAAGAAAAGAACTCACAGTGCATATTCATATTCCTAGAATTACTGTCTCCTTCTTAAAATGATGATGTAGTAAGGCAATGACTTGGTAAAATGTTCATATGAAATGAAGGAAGTATGTTTGAAAACATTATATTATTGTCCGATTTCCTTTACCTTAAATTATAAAGAAAGGATAATTGGCATAGGTAGTGATATCTTTGGATGTTGGGATTACTGATGATTTTTACTATCTTTTTGCTATCTGTTACCTAACCTTTCTGCAGGAAACATACTTTCTTGATTAAGAAAACACTATAGGGCTTCCCTGGTGGTGCAGTGGTTGAGAGTCTGCCTGCTGATGCAGGGGACACTGGTTCGTGCCCCGGTCTGGGAAGATCCCACATGCCGCGGAGTGGCTGAGCCCGTGAGCCATGGCCGCTGAGCCTGCGCGTCCGGAGCCTGTGGTCCGAAACGGGAGAGGCCACAACAGTGAGAGGGCCGTGTACTGCAAAAAAAAAAAAAAAAGAAAACACTTTATTAAAGCTGGAATTGGATACCTCTTTTATTCATATAAATCACATATTCTTATCTTGCTGCTAAGTTAGCCTTACTGTCTACACTCATGCAGTGCTGGGGAGAGCCCAAGGCCACCTGCCCACGTCAAATGGTGGTAGGAAACATGGGAGCGTGCTTCTTGGGGTCCCTACCTTCTAGGTCACAGTGACTGTTCTCCAGTGCATGGTGTCCTTGAGGCTGGCTGCAGGAGTGAGTTGTTGTCCCTTGGCTCCTGAGCTCTGTGTTCAGGTGCAGGGCACTGGCGCTCTGCAGCAGGGGTGGGGAATGTGTGGCCTGGCAGCTGTGCAGTCAGGCCTGGGTTGCAACCTTGACCCTCCCCTGTGCTCCTGTGCGGCCCTGGGCTTTAAGCTGTGGTTTGCACATCGGTGGGATGGGGATGGCACCTCCCACGGCAGTGAGTGTGTTGCATGGCATCTGGCCCGGACTGGGCACTTTCCAAAGGACAGCTGGCTGCTGAGCTCCCCAAATAGCCCACCTGCAGCCACTCCTAAATGGGGTCTTATTTCTTTAATAATAATATAGGTTTCCTGGAAACTGGTCATGTTATGGGTTGGGAAATACTTTTTAAAAAGTGGTTTCCTTGTAACTGAGACCTGTCCCGCCCTCCCCTCTTGTCTCCTTGCAGTCTGTGGGCCAGGCATCGACATCCGCAACGACTACCAGCAGCTGAAGCGGCTGGAGAACTGCACGGTGATCGAGGGCTACCTCCACATCCTGCTCATTTCCAAGGCTGAGGACTACCGCAGCTACCGCTTCCCCAAGCTCACGGTCATCACTGAGTACCTGCTGCTGTTCCGTGTGGCCGGCCTCGAGAGCCTTGGCGACCTCTTCCCCAACCTCACAGTCATCCGTGGCTGGAAGCTCTTTTACAACTACGCCCTGGTCATCTTCGAGATGACCAACCTCAAGGATATTGGGCTCTACAACCTGCGAAACATTACCCGTGGGGCCATCCGGATCGAGAAGAATGCTGACCTCTGCTACCTCTCCACGGTGGACTGGTCCCTAATCCTGGATGCCGTGTCCAATAACTACATCGTGGGGAATAAGCCCCCAAAGGAGTGTGGGGACCTGTGCCCGGGGACGATGGAGGAGAAGCCGCTGTGCGAGAAGACGACCATCAACAACGAGTACAACTACCGCTGCTGGACCACAAACCGCTGTCAGAAAAGTAAGATGAGGATGTGACCGTGGCCCCCCTCCTGCTTCTCTCTACCCCCCCTCCCCCACCCTCCCTCCTCTTCTGAATGCGTGGTTCCGACGGGTGGGTATGGCTGTATTACAGTTAGGGTGTGGGGTCTTGAGGGGCTTCCTTTTGCATCTGGGAACTGGTAGGTGCAGGACTGTGGCCTGGCTGCAGGCCATCCCGGCTTCTGTCAGACCATTCCAGTCACACACTAGAAACCATCACTGCACTCCTGGGCTAGAGGCTTGAGGAGCTGCTGCTTTGAATTTCTGATGAGAAGGGTGACCTGGTGTGCTTGAAAGTGCCTAAGCCCTGGCAGTCAGAGGCTGCATACATGTATCAGCTCTTCCATCCTTTGCGTGAAAGGATGTTTTTTGTTAACACAGGGCTTCCTTAGTGTGCGTACACCTGGAATACTGTGGAATAAAGGAAAGGTAAAGGCTAATTCACATCCTGTGAAAGTGGTGACCCGCACCCAGTCCTTGGTCCTTAATGATGACGTTACAGTGCTTGGGCATCCTGGTTTATGATGGAGCATAGCCAAGGCGGTGGGGACAGGGGAACCCTGGACCATTTTCTAGGAGTCCCAGGTTCAGGCCGACCTTGCAGGCTTTGTACACCCCAGGCTTCTGCTTCCTTTCCTTTCTACCTCTTTCTTGAAGAATTGTGCAAATCTTGTGAATCACTTATTGAAAGAACTTTGCAATGTGTTTACTGGTCTTGGGGGTCAGGTGGTGGTATTTGGAAGATTCTCGTTTATTCATCTGCTGTGTGTGCTTATTTTCCTTTGAGTATAACTGAACTCTTGCCTGATTGTGATCGATACCTTGAGCGCCGGGTTGTTGGGTATTGAAATGTGACTCTGGGCCTTTGTCTTCTTGCTTTCAGCAATGTTTAGGTCTGTTGGCCAGGAGGGTTCCCCTCACTGGTTGGAAGGCAGTGTGGTAGCTATAAATAGCTGTTTAATCGTTGGCCCAGTTAGAGACCCAAGGAGCCCATGTACTGTAGCTAGTCACTGGAGAGCCAAGAAATCCCAAATTGGTAGGCTTGCCTAAGCCATGTGTGTAAAATAAACAGACCAAAGGCCAGAGCCCACAGGTAACATTGTTTCAGTTCCCTGCCAGCCAGGGTGGAAGCAGAGAAAGGATGCTTGCTTTGAAGAGCACATGCTTTCCTGCCCTCTGTCATTGGATCAGCGGGTAGGTGAACACTGGTTCGGTAAAGGAGGGATCCCACTGGCTGAAACCAGGACCTTGAAGAGCTGAGAACACCATTGAGCCAGTTGGAGAATCCCTTTTGGCTAAGGTTGGGGGAAATACTGTGCTAAAGTCATATTTGTGATTGATTAAAATAGTACCCTATCATTAGGTTACCTGCTAGTTCTGAGAAAACAACAAAAAATATTTTCAAGTAGTCTTGACATTTAAAACTTTTATTTTAAAAGAAAAAGCCATCATCAAAGGAGGTGTCATGTGTCATGGAAAGATGTTGGATGTGGTATAAGAGGCCCAGGTGACCGTGGACCAGCCAGCCATTCTGGGCTGTAGTTGGACATGTTTAGAATGTTCCATTGGGCAGCCCCATATTATTCCTTAGTGGTGATCAAACTGATTTGAAAACTCGTAAGGTCTGTACAAAAGGGAGGTGTTACATAAAAAGTCGTTAGGTGGGCACTTGTTCAGTGATTCAGTCGGTATATTTAGGTCTCACTATGGACTTTGGGCTGTTTCTGGCCAGCTGCTTGTTGAAGAAGCCTGGAGTAGGGGCGAGGCATGAGTTCTGGGCCCAAGTCTAGTAGCCGTGACTAGAAATGAGCAAGTAATTTAGACTTGGCCTGGCCCTCAGTTTCTTCATCTGCAAAATGGGATAGCCCCTTGCCTTCCCCACAGGGCTGTTGGAAGATTAGAAAGAGAAAGAGGAAGAGCTCCATGAGAAAGGACAGGAGATGGAAATGGGGCCTTGGTGCTTCTACAACTGATGCTGATGGGCCTGCTGGCCAGACACTCTCTCCTCCAAGGCCACACCCTGCAGCCTTCTCCCAGGCCAGTGTCTCAGGCCTCCTGATGTTTTTCTGTGATTTCACAATGGAGTTTTTATTTAAAATTAATAACAGCATTCAGGGAAATTGTCTTCCCTTCAGCTTGTCCTGAAAACTCAAGCGTTGGCAGGTTTCTTGGAGATATTCTAGTTGAATCAGAACTCTTTT